CCTCTTCTACCTTTCTCTTCTTCTTTTTCTTCTTCTTCTTCTTCTGCTCCTCCTCCTCTTCTATCTTCTTCTTCTTCTTCTCCTCTTCTTCTTCTTCTTCTTCTTCTTCTCCTCTTCTTTTTCTTCTTCTTTTCCTCCTCATCCTCTTCTTCTTCTTCTTTCTCTTCTTCTTCTGCTCCTCCTCCTCTTCTATCTTCTTTTCTTCTTCTTCTCCTCCTCCTCTTCTACCTTTCTCTTCTTCTTTTTCTTCTTCTTCTTCTTCTTCTTCTTCTTCTTCTTCTGCTCCTCCTCCTCTTCTATCTTCTTCTTCTTCCTCTTCTTCTTCTGCTCCTCCTCCTCTTCTATCTTCTTCTTCTTCTTCTGCTCCTCCTCCTCTTCTACCTTCTTCTTCTTCTTCTTCTGCTCCTCCTCCTCTTCTATCTTCTTCTTCTTCTTCTGCTCCTCCTCCTCTTCTACCTTTCTCTTCTTCTTTTTCTTCTTCTTCTTCTCCTTCTTCTTCTTCTTCCTCTTCTTCTTCTGCTCCTCCTCCTCTTCTATCTTTCTCTTCTTTTTCTCCTTCTTTTTCTTCTTCTTCTTTTTCTTCTTCTTCTTCTTCTGCTCCTCCTCCTCTTCTATCTTCTTCTTCTTCTTCTTCTTCCTCTTCTTCTTCTGCTCCTCCTCCTCTTCTATCTTCTTCTTCTTCTTCTTCTTCTTCTTCTTCTGCTCCTCATCCTCTTCTACCTTTCTCTTCTTCTTTTTCTTCTTCTTCTTCTTCTTCTTTTTTTGCTCCTCCTCCTCTTCTATCTTTCTCTTCTTTTTCTCCTTCTTCTTCTTCTTCTTCTTCTCCTCCTCCTCCTCTTCTATCTTCTTCTTCTTCTTCTTCTGCTCCTCCTCTTCTTCTTCTTCTTCTTCTTCTTCTTCCTCCTTCTTCTATCTTTTTCTTCTTCTGCTCCTCCTCCTCCTCTTCTTCTTCTTCTTCTTCTTCTTCTTCTTCTTCTTCTTCTTCTTCTTCTTCTTCTTCTTCAGTCTCTTCTCTGGACCTCTTTCAAATGCAGGGTCGGACCTGGCCTCCCGTTTCCATTACATATTCGTTGTGTGCACTCTCTATATCAACCCTTCATTTATATCAATTTATATTTTTTATTTCAATTCCCTGTACCATTCCTCTTACTTCTCGTCTCCCTACGTCTTCCTTTCTATTTTACTTCAGTGTCCTTCAGACCCCCCCCCCCCCACACACACACACGTATTCTCGTCTCTCATATTACTACTATATTTATGCGTTAACCCATTCCCCGCCAAGTATTTTTTGGGGAAAAAAAGTTTCATTTTCACGCGAAATTATTCTATTTGTTTTAATATAAGTAACTAAGAAACTGAAACACCTTAAAGTACCCGAGTGATGGCTAACACTTCTACCAGACGTATGAGTCGACAATTTGAGCTCGTTATAAAGTCAGAAGGGCATAAATAGAATCAAGATCGACGTATAGACATGTTATGTTTTGAACGTGTTTATTCATCTGTGTCTGAAAAAGGCCCTTACGATTAAAAAAAAAAAAAAAAAACTAAAAAAATACGTATATACACGTCTACGCCGGGAAATATGTTAAGATCCCGCATCCTTATAGGTATATAAAAGTACAAACACGCACACACAGACAGACACACCTAACAACATTCTTTGCCTACGTCACAACACTCATGTGTCCTACAAAATTTACAACTCGTCTTAACCTACCCTGAATATGACTTAAGAAAGTCAAAAGCTTCGACCATACCCTGCTTGTACATTTCTTCAGAAGTGAACTTCAGACAACTTCTGATGAAATTTTCCTCTGGTCTGAGAAGGATTATTCGTAATTTGGAAAAGTCGATCATTAAAATTAAACGACACAAAATGTCTGTTGTTATCAATAATACATGCTTTAAAGAACATTTGCTGCCTAAATACGCAGGAAGTATATATATATATATATATATATATATATATATATATATATATATATATATATATATATAATAAGAAGGCTTAAACACTAATATTCCATGGTTATAATTTATTACATTGGAATCGTAATTACGATACGATTCATCAGACCTACGAATTCAAAAAGAAATCGGAAAAAATAACTCCGGGAATGAAAAATAAAATTTATTGAGAGTGTATGTATGAAAGTGGGGGACGAATGTGAGAGGTAAATGAAAGATTTAGAGAGGGGTAACAGACGAAAGAAGTACAGGAAGGCCTAAAGTGAAGGTGGGGATTAAAATTTAAGAGTGAGAAGTTTTAAAGAGAGGAGTTAAATGACGGTTTAAATGAGTGAGATGCAGATAAATATGAATTATTTTCCGATGCATAATTCATTACTGAATCGCTGACCCAAATTAAATTAAAAACCGACACCGGAAACGGGTGTATACATTTGTGATGACATTATGAACAATAAAAGACGATATAATCTAAACTTAAAATTCAGATGAGAGAGAGAGAGAGAGAGAGAGAGAGAGAGAGAGAGAGAGAAAAGAAAAAAGGGGAAGATGAGGGTTTGGCAACTAAAACCAAAGGACATTTATAAAAGAGCCGCTGTGAAATCAAGAAAATTTGACAAAAGTAGTATCACCTACGAGTTACAAATTTATTATAAAGATATAAAAATTAATGAATATTTAATTGAGCAAGGACCTACTATTTCTATGCCCCCAAACACATTCGTATATACACACATACACAACAACATATTTATATTTGCACGCACATACATACATATACGTGTGTACACAGACACAGGCACACACAGACACAGACACAGGCTAGGCTATGAGGACCCCCTTAGTAGGCCTAGCATAGAAATAAGTACAATAAGAGAGCCGTTAAGAAAGAAAAACAGCAAGAGTCAAAACATGACAATCCACAACAGCAGTATCATTAACAAGCTAATCAACAGCTTGGTTAAATTTAAGGATGTATGTTTACTACAAGGAATTATCCTACGGGACAATAGTCTTGTTTTAAAAGCATTGGTTTGTGAAATTAGGGTCAGGCAATGTTTCATAGCATTAAGCGGAAACGGACGAGCCATAAGTGAACAGCCTTAAGTAAAATGAGAACTAACAGAATTGTATTAAATAACTAGATGATATGATATGCTGGAAGGTCGGAGGGTACAATGGCCGAAAGGGAATAGGGAAATAGTGGATAATTTACCTAATTAGTTTCAGTGACTTTTAGATAGGAGAGCGGGTGAGAAAGAAACATGTTGAAGCGTCAAATAAGGTTTAGAGCTACAAGATACAGGAAGTTGTGAAGAGTCATAAATGGACGCAGCACATACAAGGAAAAGAGACTCCGAATTTGTGCCTTTTTATAATAATTTATTTACAAAGTTCTACAATAATAATAAAAGATGTACAATAATTTTATCAGACGGAAAAGGTTTTTTTTGTGCAGGCAATAAGTATGGAAATTATTGCGTCCTGTCAACGGTCTATGAAACCTGCTTATTAGCCATGATGAGGCGGCTTGAATGTTATTTAAGAAAATCAAGTTACTTGTGCATACAGCCACTCCCGTAGAGATGGCAGACAAGGCCCGTATGCCATGACAATAACCTTCTGGACCAGATCGCTAACGATTATGCTACACTGATTATGATTGCCCGAAGCTTGCCAAAATAAAGGATGGTTTTAATTAACTTGTGGTTGGCAGCTTCTCTTTTTGTGTTATGACGGTGACGACGAGTTATCTCGCGCTTGGGGTTTTCCGATACATTTTCATCTGCGGGCATCAACAGTGGGTTTATTCACAGTGAACTGATTAATGATTAAGCGATTTCCCGCGTTCTACCTCAGGGTGTGTTACTGACAGAAATGGGTGTCGTACAGTTAAACTCCTTGTCAAAAGCATTTTCTACAGGCGATTACCCTGCTATTTTTGCCTGACTTTCCACGTAGAACTGCTTCTCGATGTCCATGCTTTCTGCTATCATCTCTCAAAATCGCGTTCAGTGCTTTCCTAAGACATTACATTTCAAAACAAATTTTTGTGGTAGAGTTATTGCGAATTAATAAAAATTAATAAGCGGGTTTTCTAATAAGCTGTTCTGAAAGATATGAAGTATCAAAATTAAGAAGCGGACTGACGTTTATTGGGTACCTGACAGTACCATACCTTTAATTAGTTGTTATAACATACTGTATATATATACTGTAATATAGCCCAGTCTGGCACACGTGTAAAAGAAGGCGAAGCTAAAGAGGACGGATACCTCTGTAAATTCGTAAGCCTGCGTGACGAGTCTGCGCAAAATCCTACCGCGATCGTGTAGTTTCCTTCTTTTTCATATCATTAACATTTCTTTAGTATCTTTCCGTCTCTTTTTTTTATTATTTATTGCATTGCTTAACTGTTAACGTTTACGGTTTTTACAAGTTCCTATTGCTGGGTCTTTTTCCTTTCTCGTCTGATGATATCTTTTCCGTATAATATGTTTTCTGAGTTTCTTTCTCTCTCTCCCTTTTAAGTTTCTCATTCATATGATCTCCTTCCACGCTTTCCCTGTCGTCTTAATCAGACAAAACTAAAAGCGAGCACAAAGCAGACGTTGACTATATATAATAGAATATTCCTTTAGCAAAGTAACGCAAGGGGTTAGTGTGGGGTGAAGAGATGTAAATGTCTTTGGCTCTAGATTCATGTCGCTTAAAACCGTTTTTTTTTTATTTTTTACTTGGCCGTGAATGCATCAAGACCATCGCGAACAAAACGGGATTGAATCGAACAAATCCTTCCACTTCCCGATTCAGTCTCATTCTACATCTTGTCTTCCGTGGCTTGATGAATAAATATGACCACTTTCATGAGTTCGGACACAGAATTGCAGATTACCAAATTTTAATTTATTGCAGGGCGTCTATGTAAAGTTAGAATTTGGTTTGTAGCAATCATAAGAATATTTTATTCAGGCTGTAAAGAATGATTAATAACAATAATAACAATAATAATAATAACAAAAATAATCCTAGGGAGAAAGAAAGAAAGAAAGAAAGAAAGAAAGAAAGAAAGAAAGAAAAATTCTTGAAGAAAGCAAAAAACAAAGGACAAATTTCTCGAGAATAGCAGAAAGAAAAAAAAAGAAGAAACAAGAAACAGCACATACCAAAAGTAGGAAAAGGTTGACATTTTCCTAAAGAAAGAAAGAAAGAAAGAAAGAAAGAAAGAAAGAAAGATAAAAATTCCTGAAGAAAGAGGAAAATAACAAATTTTCCAGGAAATGAAGAAAGAACAAAAGAACGGAAATGAAATAGCTAATACCGGAAGTAGGAAAAGGTCGAAATTTTCGTACAGAAAGAAAGAAACAAACAAACAAAAAAGCAGCAAAAACAATAAAAAGAAATAAAGAAAATAGAAATTAAGAAAGAAAGGAATAAAAAAGAAAGAAAAAATAAAAACGAAAGAAAATAAAAAGAAGGTATGAATGAATTGGGGATAAAAATAAGAATGGCGGGGTAGAAGAAAAAAGAAAGAAAGAAAGAAAGTTCCTGAAGAACGTAAAAAATGGCAAATTTCTCGGAAATGAAAAATAACAAAAGAACGGAAATGAAACAGCACATACGAGAAGTGTGAAAAAGTGGAAATTTTCCTACAGAAAGAATGAAAGTAAAAAGAAAGAAAATAAAAAAGAAAGAATATAATAAGAAATAAATTAGAAAGAAAGAAAGAAAGAAAGAAAGAAAGAAAGAAAGAAAGAAAGAAAGAAAAATAAAATAAAATCAATTCCTGAAGAAAGCAAACAATGGCAATTTTCCAGGGAAAAGAAGAAAGAAAAAAATGAACGAAAAAAGAACAGAAGTAGGAAAAAGTGCAAATTTTTAGAAAGAAAGAAAGAAAGAAAGAAAGAAAGAAAGAAAGTAACACAAATAACATAGGAAAAATAAATATTTCTGGGAAAGAAATAAAGAATGATACAAACAAAAAAGAGAAGCAAGTATCATGTGGTAGAACAAAAAAAGAATATTCTATGCAGAAAGAAATAAAGAAAGAATTATGAGAAGAAAGAAAAATGTATTACATTTCCGACAGAGAAAGAAAAAAAGAAACTAAAATCACTAAAGAAAGAAGGAAAGATAATAATTCATGTCAGAAAGAAGAGAAAGGCAAGAGAAAAATTTTCCTAAAAAAAAAAATAAAGAAAGAAAAAGATTAAATATAAAAGAGGAAAACACAAAAAGACAGAAAAACATTGATTTGTGTATTTGAATATTTCCATAGTAAAGTTCCGGATCCCGTTTTTGTAACGGGCCGTTTGGTTTCCTACTGTAACAAAAGCTGACCCGATTTCCATATATATTTTTTGCTGATTGGCTTTGTCACTAGGCCATTCATGTCGTTGTCCGGAAAGATATTTGTCTTCATGAAAAGCAACTCCGAAAAGAATGGAATTGAATCAGTCAACGAAAGCAGGAAATACGAATGGATTAGACGGAGTTTTGTGGGACGTAAAACAGGTAGCCACACAGAGAGAGAGGGGGGGAGAGAGGAAGAAAGATGAAGAGACAGACAGTTTGAGAGGGAGGCAGAGAGAAAATCTGATTCGCCTTTCACACGACTAAAGGTTTACAAAATTCTGTTTCATTGTGATACATAGGTGTCTCTTTCATCCATAGTCGTTTAGAAGAAAAATCTAACAATTTCGTGGCATTAATCGTAAAGTGACCTTGTCGATGGCACTAACATTGAGCTTTGGTGCATAAAGGTTAAGGCAAAAGACTCACATGAAAATCAGTGAAAAATTCAGCTAAATCCGATTCGTGTCGCTATAAACTGTCAGTTAGACACACACACACACACGGACACATATCTACTGACCTTAGATAGAAATGAATATGTTCAGATAGATATATATATGTTTATGTATTAGGTGTGTGCATATATATATATATATATATATATATATATATATATATATAGAGATAGATAGATAGATAAAGAGAGAGAGAGATATCTATCCTGTATTGAAAAATTGAAAAATTGAAAAATATGGATGAAATCTGACAGAATAATTAAATAAAGGGACCAGTAGGAAAATATTTATAAATTAAAGAAATGGAAATGTGCCAAATTTATAATCATTTTCCCCCATTTGTTCCTTATACGCATACATATATTATATATATATATATATATATATATATATATATATATATATATATATATATATATACTTAAATATATACTTATATCTATATACACACATATATATATACTATAAACATATACTTATATATACATAAATATATACTTATATATATATACTTAAATATATACTTTATATATATACATATACTTAAGTATATACATATATCGATATATATACTTAAGTATATACTTATATATATATATATATATATATTAAAGTATATACTTATATATATATTTAATTATGTACTTATATATAAATATATCTATATCTATCTATATCTATATATATATGCATACTGAATTAAATTGAAAACCTTTCTCCATTCATATTTTCACACTAAACAATACTTAATAAATACAAATGGAATCTATGTTTCCATTATAGCGAGGACCCGGGTTCGAATTTTGCTGAAAGGCAAAATAGATTTAATAAAACTGTCGAATCCCAGACCAATTATACTGTTTACAAATAGGTATGTCTACATAAATGCGGTTATTCCCAGAATATAAGATTTATAGTAAAATATATATATATATATATATATATATATATATATATATATATATATTGATGCTATTATTTTTTATTATAAGAGATTAGAACCAAAACATATTTAAAATCGCTACACAATAGTTTCGTGTTTAGGCACTACGTTGTGTCTCTTCGGGCGCTGATAAGTAACTGTTGATTAAATGATTCTTAAGAAAATTTTAAAAGCAAAGTCTTACCTCTTTTTCGAAAGATAAAGTGAACCGCTGAGAAAACACAAGGTCAGATTTAAAAATAGATTTTGGGTTTGCCCTTATCAGCCAATCAAGTGTCAGATCTACACTAAATAGAAAATTAAGCTCAGCGTCTTTTGTGTCATATTTGTCTACAACCACAATATATTTGTTGCTTGTATTTTTTCCGCAAATGTCACTGATGACCTAACTTGAATTAAAGTGAGATGTCTGAGACATCCGGATGAGGCATGGTACATGAAATTAGGAAAATTTATCTCGGTGGACGAAATATAGGGTCCAGTTCGTAATTCCAATCAGCTGAATAAGGCCGGAGCATAAAACGGCTGAAACGTCGTGAACACGACAATAAAGATGAAGCCAACAGTCCGACAAATGAAAATAATGTAAAAGTTTAGTGGTATTATGTCTATTTATTTTAGTTTTAATCCTTTCAGGTCCACGAATTAACTTATTGATGGGTGGGAATAATCTCCCTATTTAAAGTTAATAATTTTATCATTTATTGGTCGATTTCAAAAACAGGTTTTATTTTGAACAGTATAATGGTATACGTAGAGCACCTTTTGTACATTTTCTTCCAATTTATATGTTGAATGACGTCCGAACTCATAATGGTTGAATGGCAATTTCTAATGGTTTTGGCATCTACTGAAGAATGCGTTCTATGAACACAGCGACACTTTATCTACACTTGTGTCACAGATGACCAAACTGGATGGCCACTGACCGCGCTGGTGCATCTATCTATCTATCTATCTATCTATCTATCTATCTATCTATCTATCTCTCATTCTCTCTCTCTCTCTCTCTCTCTCTCTCTCTATATATATATATATATATATATATATATATATATATATATATACTGACACCTATTCTTACATACATAATTGTATGCCATATGATATATTTATACCTAGCTACAAATATTTTTTAAACATACTTATATTAGACTATTCATATAATTCGGACTATTGTCCTCATCTCTGTCGCCAAGTTTATCACAACGTTTCGGGCGTTGTACGCTCCAGCCTTCTTCAGATGGTTGGAATATCGAACTGAATCCTTTATTTCACTCACTGGTTGCAATGTCGAACTGAACACTTTATTTCGCTGACTAGGGTAGACTGTTCTCGTTCCACGTGCCATGTCTAATGGACCTTAGTTATCTCCTGTTAATTCCCCTTTCAAAGTTCTCCACAGCCTTAACGAGGTATTGAACTCACACCATTTGGGTCCTATCACTGGATCTAACTAACGCCTTTATCCACTGTGCCATGTGTCCTTGAGAACACAACCAAATGAAGAAGACCACCTGAAGAAGACCGGAGCGTACAACGGCCGAAAAGTTGTGATAAACATGGCGACAACGCTGAGGAGCATAGTCCGAATAATATAAATAGTGTACATAATACCTCATCTCAGAAATATAGACAGGTACTTATATTAGATATTGTCTTTGTTAGTCTTTAATATTTCTATATTGTAGCTCATACTTTCCGTTAAATATTTGAAAACTATTTCTTAAAAAGGATATCTGACCTGAGATTTATGATCGCTGGCACTTTCAACGAGGTTAATTTGGCCAGCCAGCCTCTGGGTAAGTAATGATTGTGAATTAATTCTCCTTTTGAAATTTAATTGAAATTAAATTTTAACCTCCAAGACAGGAAATATACAAAAAAAAAAAAAAATGAATGGATCTCTCTCCTCCTCCCTCCCTCCTCCCTCCCTCCCCACCTCTATGTGTGTCTGTGTACGCGTGTTTCTGTGTGTATGTGTGTACAAATGCCGATTCCTCTTGTCTGTCTTTGTCTGATCGACATGCACCCGAAAGGCATAGTTGTGAAGACGGCCAACCTACCTGAAGTCATGTCTGTAGCTGTTATAATACCCAATTATTTAATGATTCATTTATTATGTCTAAAGCCTGAAGAATGCTATGGATTTTTACTGTCGATTTACAAAAAAAAAAAAAAAACAAAACAATGAATCTATAAGAAAGCGAAATAACGAGAAAGAAAAAGGGTTAAAAAGAAAAAGCTACAGACTCAGACAAAAATACATGATCTCTAAGCAAACCTATATAAATATTTAACTCGATTCACTGACGCATATACGTTTGTGTGTGTCTGTGTGTCTGTGTTTGTGTTTGCGTGTGAGTGTGCGTGTGTGAGAGGGACAGAGAGAGATAGAGTGAGGGTGTAGAATTGAATAATCTGTTTAAAATGCATTGACTGTTCGAGAGCATTTTAACAATCATATAGAAAAAACAGTGGGATGCCGGCCTTCGCTGTAGAGGTCTTCAATAATGTGCAATCATTTTTGTAATTGAATTGTCGCATAATTCTAGGTTTGCATCGACAATCATAACACGTGAACGCAGGTTCATGTCCATCATATATATATATATATATATATATATATATATATATATATATATATAAATTATTAATTGTGAAATAATATAAATTAATTGAATCGATAGATCAAATTTCACAGAATCATTCTTCTGCTTACTTTTTGTGAAAAACACACACACACACACACACACACACACACACACACACATATATATATATATATATATATATATATATATATATGTATGGCGCACACACACACACATATAAACGACCATCCGCAGGTTCTTAAATTCAAAGTTGTTCTTCTCCCTGACCAGTTGACATCAAGGCTATAGAACCCAGTCTGTTCTATTATTTTAAGAAGGAAGGAGGAAGAAGGGCATTAGCATGTAAGTGAATGTAATGTATTCGACTGGAATTCAAACACGGCTCTCCGATTCCTAAATCCGAGCCTTTACTCCACAATCTTTTTCTTTCTCTCTCTCTCTCTCTCTCTCTCTCTCTCTCTCTCTCTGCACACACATACACGCATATATATATATATATATATATATATATATATATATATATATATATATAATTATTTATTTAAAATTATAATATAAGTATGTT